TACTACCTTCATAAATGACGAATCGCCGCCATGCACCCCACGAACTCGCCAGTGAGTTCTTCACGAAATCAAGGCCAAATTAACTCAGGTATTTTTATGAAATTGGAAGAGGAATGGATGCTAGGTCGATTCCAGTGGTGTTTGGCTTCAATTTACCAGAGAAACAACCATGAAAAGCATCGAAAAACATGGATGCCACAGGGTCGGGTCGCGGGTCAAAGAGAGGGTTTGGTTCCCTCCTTCTCTTATCCCTCATTTCCTTCATTTCCTCCCCCGCATCTCTCATCTTCCCCTCTTTCTTGTTGTCATCTGGCAGCTTCTAATCTTTCATTCTTTCTTTTTTTTCTAATTGGTCCCTTCCCAAATTAATGGGAACCCCTAAAAATATTAAATCCCTATTTATTTAAGAAACTTCTAACATTTGTAACTTCTCATTCCTCATCCCGATTCACGAACGGCCTTTGTCTATATGCTCGTGGGTTCTAGCTCAATTCAAAAACATTAAGAGTGACCCCCGAAGGAAAAAACAGATTTTAAATAATTATTTTCAAAAATTCAAACTTTGTAATTAAGTAATTAAAATCTAAAATTAATTTAAATTCGCGAAAATAATACAAAATTTCGAGAATACAAAATACGAAAATTACAATAGTGAAATCCAGGAACGGAATTTCACATCTTTCCCCCCTTATAAAAATTTCGTCCTCAAAATTCCAGTATCAATTCCATATCCACCAATGCCACAAATCCAACAAATAACGATGCACAAATGGCATTCACACTTTAATTATACTCGAATTTAGCTTACATCAAGCTTGACAACATCGAATCACAACTCACAAATACAATTATCATCGTCTTAACACGATCTCAAACCAATATTTGTAAAAGCACAAAGCATGCCACTACTAACAAGAATTCATTAATATACTCATGATTCAATTCACAATCATCAACATTCAAGATTCGAGTGCAAAATCAATAACAATACATTCCAACTCCATGACACAATTTCTAACACCCAAAGGTAAAGGTACTTCAACCTAATACCTAAGCTCTGATACCACTAAAAGTTGTCACGCCCCGATCCCGACATACGTCCAAGATCAACATGTGACGTCACCACATTCTTTATCTATCATGTCTCGCCTCTTAGACAAGACTAAAACACAATCAATGATTTAACCACGTAGTCATTTTCTTTTATTTCACAGTTGCATCTAACCTTACGTTAGACTGCCTACGTACCCTAAGAAGGGATCAACCCATTCGTAGTTTCACGTTTCACTACACTTCGACGTTTATCACAGTACATTCAAGCAAAAAAAACATAGCATTCCTCAATCAATTATTAGAACTTGACAAACATGTAATTACTAGGTTCATGGCTACATAATAAACCCACTTGACATTCAAGATTTTCATTCCATCCATCATATAAATCACTATGTTTTCAATATTATACCTCAATCCATAGCATGTAACATATCAGAGAACCAACAAAGCACAATATTATTCTCAAGCCACATTGATCAACTAATCTAATCATAATAATAACAATCATATCCAACGTCATTCCACAATCACGTCAATTGACCAATTCCATGAATCAAGGATGCACGATATTAACATTTAACTATGTTAATCAATCAATAAGATCACATATCAATTCATGAAACTTAATAAAGGAATTCTACATAATTCCCTACTTGGATTCCAAGTAATAACATGATAAATCTAATTTATAAACACAACATCTACTGTGAGCAATTCTTATTCACTCGAATCTAGGGCTGGACTAACCTTATGGAAATGAGCAAGAGTATGGATTCTGGACCACTCAAAGGAATCCAACTAAAATATGGTCGCCTATCAAAATGTACCAAGTACAATTAAGCCTCATCACCCCTAGAATGCGTATGGTCTCCCATTGCGGATATACCAAGCAGAACCATAGGCATAATCTAATCATGCAGGCAGTGATCACCCATAGCAGATGGACCAAGCATGATCACCCCTCAAATACGTATGGTCCCTCATCATGGATATACCAAGCAGGACCACATTCTAACTCTAGGTAGTGATCACCCATCGCAGATATACCAAGCATAATCACTCCTAGAATGTGTATGGTCCCCTATTGCGGATAAACCAAGCAGAACCATATGCATAGTCTAATAACGTAGGCAGTGATCACCCATTATGGATATACCAAGCATGATCAAACCTAACAGTCCCTCATTGTGGATATACCAAGCAAGACTATATCCTATAGCTCTAGGTAGTGATCACTTATCGCGGATATACCAAGCATGATCAATCCTAGAATGCGTATGGTCCCCCATTACGGATAAACCAAGCATAACCATAAGCATAGTCTAATCGTGCAGACGATGATTACCCATCGCGGATATAATAAGCATGATCACCCTTGTAATACATATGGTCCCCTATCGTGGATATACCAAGCAAGACCATCCATGTGCCACTGCTACATGGTGCAGTAAATTGAACACATAACCTACCCCATACCTCAACCCCTATGAGTTACAACGTAGGCACCTGCACTATTAACTTCTCATGACCACTAACTAACATGTCACACAAGCATATAAGTTCTACAGAATACTTATAATAGGATTTTAAGCTCACATTGTCATAACAGTTATCATACATATCATTCATATTATCAAGAAGATAAATACACATATATCACAATAAGGCATTCCATACACGTAAATCGAGGTATATATTATCTGGGATAACTCACTAACCAGTATAGGCCCCCTAAGCCCTACTTAGTCTGTAGTAATACTAATTTTAGATTCAAGAACGATTAAGAACATTTTGATCAAAATCAACCCTAGTAGGCCAATCAGGAAGATCTGCCCACCGGATTTTCAATCTATAAGTTCCTAAGGTCCTCAAATATTATGTATAGTAACATATTAAAGTTTGGAACGATCTAACGGTCGGATCGTCGTTTGTTATAATGATCAAGTGGCGGCCTCTAACGAAAATATGTTCAAACAATGGGATTTTGTCAATCCAATGTCACATATGGATTCATGGTATTGAATTTAGCCTAGAAAGACAGAGTTGGCCCATTAGCCATGTGCCGCCACATGCGGTGGTTTCTAGCGAACGGAAACCCAATTTTCCAACAAACTCTAAAAATTACCAATTTTCACATAAATGTAGAGCATGTCAAGGGGAATAATTTTCATACCTGGGCTAAAGTCCAATTCAGCCAGGAAGTGGCTTGAAAACACCTCGATCCGTCGAAAACCTTAGAAATGGGTGTTCTCGATTCGACGTCAAAACGAACTCTGACGCCCCAACCAATGCATGGGCTTTGTTCCTGAGGTTTAAGGGAGTTTGTTGGTGGTGGTGGTCAACTGTACTACCTTCAAAAATGGAGGATCGCCGCCATGCACCCCACAAACTCGCCAGGGAGTTCTTCACGAAATCAAGGCCAAAATAACTCCGGTTTTTTATGAAATTGGAAGAAAAATGGATGCTAGGTCGATTCCAGGTGATGTTTGGCTTCAGTTCACCAGAGAAACCACCGTGAAATGCATCAGAAAATATGGATGCCGCCGAGTCAGGTCGCAGGTCAAAGAGAGGGTTTGGTTCCCTTCTTCTCTTCTCCCTCATTTCCCTCATTTCCTCCCATGCATCTCTTATCTTCCCCTCTCTCTTGCTGTCATCTGGAAGCTTCTAATCTTTCTTTCCTTTTTACTTTTTTTTTTCTAATTAGTCCCTTCCCAAATTAATGGGAACCCCTAAAAATATTAAATCCCTATTTTATTTAAGAAACTTCTAGTGTCCGTAACTTCTCCTTCCTCGTCCTGATTCATGAACAGCCTTCGTCTATTCGCCCGTGGGGTCGAGCTCAATTCTAAAACATTAAGAGTGACCCCTAAAGGTCTACATATTTTAAATAATTATATTCAAAAATTCAAACTTTGTAATTAAGTCATTAAAATCTAAAATTAATTTAAACTCGAGAAAATAATAAAGAGGAATACCATAATGTGGGTTAAGCCTCACACGGGGCTCACCATAATGTGATTCAAATTCTCCTTTGGCAAGAATCAAACTTAAGATTTCTCACTTACAAGTAAAGAAGAATATCACTAGACTAAGTACTAAGTGGCAGACAATTATTGACTTAGCAAATAGTATTTGTCTGAGTGTATCTCCACCCTGTAAAATAAATTGCTCAAACAATTGGTTTAAAAAAAATAAATTAAAAATAATAATTATTTTATTATTAATATCTCCTTCCCCTTCTCCTCCACCCCCTTCTCCTTCTCCTTCTCCTTTCTCTACTTCTTCCCGTCTTCTCCCTCCTCTACCTGATGAAATCCAATGATCCAAACCGCCCAAACTTTTCTCTCCGTACCTCAAACCCTCACTCCACACCCCTCAAAACCCTCATTCCACAATGCCAAAAATTAGACCCCCGCCGACCTTCCCGCATAGTCAGTGACCCCAAGGTTTGACAAGTCGGGTTCTTCGCCTCACCCGAACCCATCGCCTTGCCCGAGCCCATCCCCTCCTCCTCTCCTCCCGTCTCCAACATCTCCCCCTCCGGTAACTCCCTATCTCGGGTAATGATCCCCCCAGAAAAAATAAAATAAAATTTAACGTGTCCAACGTCAGCTTTTTTACGTTAGACCGCACATGGGCACAAGGTCGGGCAAGGATCGCCTGATTGAGCGGACTCTGGGCCTAGCAATTGTCCAACTTTTTAATATGGACTGGAGCAAGATTTTCGGTTTTTTGGGCAATAACTACCCAGTTGCCTTGGCAATTTCATGTGGGCTAGAGCTGCTCTAAGTCAGCTATTTTCATCTCTCACACACCATCTGCTAGTAGAAACTAGTACTGGCATGCTTGTAATTTCTAAATTCATGTTCATGTAAATTCTCGGCCTACATGCAAGATCCATGTAGAATTTGGGGGATGAACAGCATCATTAAAAAGAAATGACATGAAAAGAAAACAATAGATAAAGAGGCAACGACAACAAATAGAGAAGACCGATGTAAATGAAAGCCAAACAAAGAGAAAGAAAACCAAGGGAAAATAAACCACAGAATTTTCCAAAATATTTCTCGCATGAAATTTCTCAATTTCTTCGCTCATCTTGGCAAACGAGGGAGTTAGCCTTTTCTACGGTCCAACTCCCGATTTTTCCTTGAATTCTAAATATTTTCCCATCATCCAAACACATGGTAAGCAGAACTATCTAAATAGAAAGCTATTTGTTAAGGTAGATGTACATGGGGAGAGTGGGTTTGGCTTTGGACCTATATAGAACTCTCTTGTTCTTGAATGTCCAGTTCTCAATTGTTATCACCATCTTGCCAGGTTCACTAATATAGAAGGAGTTTCTAACACTTTGTCCCAATCTCTTCCTTTCTTGGAGCAGAATCTTGTATGAGCCTTCATCATCAGGTACAAACTCCTCCTTGTAGTACACATCCCATCCCACCACTGTTAGATCCCACACCATTGTCAATCCACCCTAATCAATCAATTAAGCACACCCAAAATCTATCAGTTAATCAAGATTATTCAAGCATAAAGCTAGAGACAAACTTTTGGAGACCAACTGATGTGAAATACTTTCGTATTTGCTTTGAATAAGTACGGTTGAGGGCATGCCTGGACGTAAAACTAATGAACCCTTGCCTCATCATGCATCGAACTAAAGAGTATTTTTGTCACTATGACCACCACAAATTTCACATGACGGTACAAGTTTGCTCATGATATCTATTATCAATATTATACCTTAGGTTTGAGACATCATTAATGTTCAATTACATTATAACACGTGAATTAGTAACATCAAGTGATAGTTTAACTGTCACACTAAAAGATTTCTCCAATTTAAAAGTAGATAATTGAATTTATGAGAAGCTTAATATATTTGTTGTTTGAAGTAATACCTCAGCAACTGGGATTTCGATGCAGGCATTTGTGCTCGGTTTGACTTTGAGCCTTGATGCTTTGTCCTCTGGTGTGAAATCACCATCTTTCTCTCTTTTGAGGCCACCATACTGAGATGGGAGTTCTTCTGGTTCTACAAACCTTTTCGGTAAATTTCCAAGCAAATTTGTGAGAGAAAAGAACATAAATTAAGCAATCAAACATTAATTAGTGAAATGTTATATAGTAATCTCACTTGAGAAGGGTTTTTGTAACATTTGAAGGCCTGGCAAACACGAACTTCTTTTTGGTTCTTTGACTTAGGAGCCTTGATCTGAGCACATGCACCACATAATACCAAATTGGAGCATTTATCACAATCTGCAAATTAATCAACCAAACTTATTTCAACATTTGTACAAAATATTTCAGCGTGATCATAACCTCAAATTTGAAAGTACTACTTACATTCTTTTGGATGAGCTCTGGATAGTTTTCTTGGAGCAAAACTAGGGTTTTGTTGCTAAGAGAACGAAGCTCCTTCATGTCCGGCCCCGGCGAGTGCTTCAAATCGGTAACGTGAACCATAGAATCCACTCCTCCGTCCTTGAAGCTAAGTTTTTGAATTCCCCTTTCCATAAACTGAACCCTCCACCTCAAAAACTCTTGCCGTTTCTCCTCAGAACCAAAAGTCCTATTGTACAATTCCCTATCTCTAAAAGGCCCATAAAATGTATAACACAAAGGGTGCCCTTCCTTGTCCACACTATTCAAAAACACCACATTCTTAAGATCACACCCCAACTCCTCCTCCAGAATCTCATCCGTTTTGTATTCTTTTCGCCATTTCAGCATCCTTCGCAGCATCTCGAACGCTTCCAGGACCTTGTAGTCTTTTGCTCTCAAGAACTTGAGCAGCACAATGTCGGTGCCTTGGTGGCCTTTGCTTGGGAGTAAAGGCACCCCCCAAAGAGTGATCTCCCACGGCTCCATCTCCCGCCGGAAACTCTCGTCCGGTCCAAGCTTCTTGTTGGGTTTTCCCAACAGATAATTCCCAACAATTGCATCCTCAACCCTGCACCTCAATTCCATCAAGGCTCTCTGCTTTTTCTTCTTCTTGTTCTTGAATTCGACAGACGGTGAATTTACATTTCCACCCTCCTGTTCTACATCACTTTCTTGATCTTCACTAGGGCTATTTTTGCTTACTTCTTCATGGGTGCTTTCATCCTCGGTTTCTTCGACACGATCATCCTCGACATTCTCTAATGGTGTCTCTTCCTCCTCTTTCTTCTCCGTCATCGTGCTTTCAGGTTCCCGGTGCTGCCAGAGTTTCGGTGCACACAGCTCTCAGGCAGTTATTTCCAGAGGACTAATTTTTGGTGGTGAGAGGATTCAATGGTGGAGAATTGAGATCGACATGGAGACACAAAAATTTGCAAAGCTTTCTTCTTTTTTACCCTTTCCTTTTTTCTATCACCTCAAACTCCAAAGCTCTCTTGGAATCTTCTGTGCCTATGAAGATGAAAACAACCGTGAGTTACCCTTGGCGCCAAATTTAGATTGTGTGATGATTTTTTTTTTTAAAGGAAAAAAATAATAATAATCATCACACAATCTAAATTTGGCATGCGATAAGATATTTAAAAAATATTTTTATAACCAGTCGCTAATTTGTTGATGATAAATCACAATGTATTTATAATTTTGTATCAACTTAAATTCGATAATGAAGTTTGGAAAAAGAAAATTCGATAATAAAATACCGTTAGACCAACTCATTATATGCGAAGCAATCTACGATTAGATTGGTCCAAAATTGTTTTAGAGTGTTTTAAGTTTTGACATGTGGTAGGCTGGCATGGATATTAGTGGGCTCTTAATGAATGGAAGCTAGGAATACAAAAGATCTTTCTTTTCTTTTCCTTTCTTCTTTTTTTTCCTTTTTTTTTTTATTAATTTGTTTGAGTCAAACTTAGTTTTCAGCTTTCTTTAAGGGATTTAAGTTAATAAGTTGGCTCTATTTTGTTAAGAAGCAAAATGAGAAAGAACAGAAAAAAGTTTTTTTATTATTATAGTCTATACCGGAATTTAGACGGTTAGATTTTTGTGACTTTTCGATCAAATAAAAAAAAGATCTTTGACCCTTCATTATCAATGCAATACACTGAAACATTGTAGTGGTTTTAAATTTTCCTAAGATAAATGCTAAAATGACTCTCTCAAAGTGAGACTCTCTATGAACTCTCCGACACCTCATAGTTTAACGTCAATTGTCGTGCCAACATTATAAAAAAATTGTGTAAAAAAACATGATTAGTTAATCTCTCAACCCCTTGCACATAGTTCTGCAACTCTGTTGGGGACTAGTTTAATAATTTGTTGGTGTATGCCTAAATTGGCCAACATGTTACATTTGGGCAACTAACGTGGTACTTGGCAGATTGGCAATGACTACGTTTCACTAACCAGAACGTGTTACATGACTCATTCTCCAAGTCACTATTCCAAGTCTCCAAGTTATCTTGTATTCCCACGCACTCTCTAGTGCTTTTACATATACGCTCCAATGTGGTGTGAACTTGTGATTATAACAACTTTCAACAAAAGCGCTTATGAGCAGACTACTTTCTACATAAATATTCTTAAGCAAACCCTAATGCGGTCAATCTTGAGACAACCACACTCTGTAGATTCATTGGTCTTATGCACTCCCCTCTTTCTTTCCGGCCATTTAGCGGAAACTTAATAAAAAACAAGCAAGGGACAAAATTAAAAGGAGTGCAAGAGGTAAAAAGAAAATTGTAAACCACCACTCCCTAAAAGTTAAAAAACACAGTAAATCATGTAAAGCTTATTGCTTTGTGAAAAATTGAAACATTATCAGTCTCCAAATCAAACATAACCAAAAGGGGTGAATTTTACATGCCTAACACAGAAGATCTATTTGCTGAATTTCATGCCTAATTATAAAAGAACAATCCAGCAGCCACACAAATCTTACAACCTTTATGCACAGCAATTACATGAAATGTGAGCAAAACAATCCGTATCTACATCATAAGCATGGTTATCTAGCTGAAGCCTGTAGTAGCTGCATCACGACTCCCGATACTTGGTCAGGTCAAATGTCAGAGTTTCCGAACAGCTGGAATAAAGCAAACACAGTTACTGCATTACTAAACCGTATAGAGTGAATTGTGAAAACTTATCGATGTTCCTAGTTTCGTGTGAAGCTCACCTCCTTTCGCAGTCCCTGTAAACCCCAACTAAAGCATCAGCCTTGTCGTAGAAGCTATCTTTTAGAGATATTACAATGCTCTGAAAACCATTGCCTCCCTCATCATCTTGGTTAGCCCTGGCTCCTTCACGTGCCTTTGAACGGATGAATCCAGCAACCTTAGCAACATTCAAGTTATCTAGTGCAGCATCGACTTCATCCAGTATGAAAAACGGTGAAGGCCTAAAACTGAACCCATGCATAAGAGGAAATAGAACTATTAATATACATTACTATTGTGGCAATCTCCATATACACACTAAGTTCCATCCTGAAACTTTCATGTGTGATAGCCTGTAAAACTTAAAGGTAAAAACTCTTCCATTGGTAAAAAGTTAAGAGACACGCCTGTGTATGGAAAAGAGTAATGCCAATGCTGCAACAGTTTTCTCGCCGCCAGATAGTTGTTCCATATCACGAAAGCGCTTTGTTGGGGGCATAGCAGTGTACTTAATGCCATGTAAAAATGGATCATCTTCATTTTCCAAATTTAAATATGCCGTCCCACCCAGTGGATGTGTGTTGCTCTTTGTCAGTTGTTTGTATATCTTATCAATGTTACTGGAAATATGTTGGAAGGCATCCATAAACAACTCGTACCTGCATTGACCAAAACAAGAAAACAAAAAAGCTAGCTGCATTACAATAAAAAACCACAGAACATATAGTTTGCAGGAGATCACCGTAAAACAATACATTACTTTGCTTTTCAAAGGTGGAAAATTAAAATTTCTCTTTCTAGTTCTTATCCTATAGAAAACGTCTATTTAACTCAGCAGAATTGCATGCCAAGCATCTTTAATAGTGTAGAAGCAATTAATACCTCTTCTGCTTAACTGAGTTAAACATATCAGCTTTTTCCTTCTCTTCTATTCTAGCCACTTCAAACTCTTCAGTTACAGCTCTTTCCTTTTCTTTTATTGCCTCATATTGGTCCAGGGCCTTCAAATTTGGAGCTGTTTTTTCAATTTCTGAAATTACGGCATCCATTTTTTGCTTAAATTCCACCTCAAGCTTCTCCCGTTCAGAGGGCCTTCTGTCCCGCATATGAGACTTGTTTAACTGACTAAAATCGAAGACTGGGCCCATTGGGGAGGAATCAATCTCCATTGGGTCTGAGATGATGGGAAGGTTTATTTGTTCTAATTCACATTTCTCTACTATTTCCTGCTTCTGTGACATCAGCTGCTCAATCTGTGACTCCTGTAAGGTGAGAAAAACATACGTAAGCCTTTTAAATTTACCTAGAACAAGGTACACAACTGGTGAAAAGAGAACTGACTCCAACCTTAGCGTGTATCTGTCGATTAAGTTTGGATAAACTTGTTGTAGCTGTAGAACCCCGCTTGTTCCATTCTTGGATTTCCTTCTCACACCCTTCTGACTTGGATTTCCATTCTAACGAATGGGAAGAGACATATTAAAATAAAAAATAAATGAAGAATGAAGAATAAATTGGCTTGCTGACTAGTTTGAATAACTTAAGAACTAAATCTTGAGCTGATTGAATAGAAGCTTCAAAATTTCATTTCTTGGAAAACAATCCCATTTCATACCTTGTATTTCTTTCTTCCACTGATCAATCTCACCAGAAGCTTTTTCTGCTGCTGACTTGGCTGCAGCCTCTTCCTTCTGAACCCGTTCTAAAGCTTTTTTAAATTTACTAATAGAATCTTGGAGTTCGTTAATTCGTGATTCCATGTCCCGGTTTTGCTCATACTCTAACCTGAAAGTAAACAAAAATAAAAGCATTGCATCATATAATCTGAGTGAGTGCCACAGCTGCAATACAACTAGTACTCAGAAATGAGGAAACTGTTTTGATTCCGAAAAGATATAGGAAACAAAGAAAATGAAACTCTTAACAGGTTTAAACTGACATCTATGTTGATATTTGCATTTATTGACTTGAGAGCGAAATGGAGGGGGAGGCAAGGACGTACTGGTATTTCAACTTTGACAGCTGGCTACTCAAACTAAGCCTCTCTTCAGCCATATATTGGGAAGCCTTGAGTTGATTTTCCTCATACTCACGGATGTTTGCCACCCCAACAGATTTACTAAAATCTTTGTAGATTCTGTCAACAATTTCATTTATCCTCTTCTCAAGCTTATTGATTTCCTTGCTCCGCTTATCTACAGCTTGCTTTAACTGCAAGAAAATTTGAAAACAGCTGAAACTACAGGCTTGAATTCAAATATTGCAAGAAACTAGACGAAGAGCCTTGTCATCATAAAAATCAAAACAAAAAACCTTAAGAAGTTCAGGACTGCTGCGATCAATCTCTTCTTTTATATTCTGCTTTTCCCGTGCCAAGGTTGCAAGTTTGTCCTTGATGCTTTTCTGCAACAAAAATTATCTTATTTGTCCATCCAAGAAAAATAATAATTGCATAAGACAAAATCAAGAAATAACAATGTCATTTTGCAGTGCATGCAGCCCACCCCCACCCCAATCCACCCACCCAAAAATAATAAAATAAAGGGGTAATTGACCTTAGATGAAGAGAAAAATCAGGATTGAGTGAGGTCAATAAAGAGATAGATTAAGGACGGGTATGGACCTTAGATGGAGAGAAGAATTGTTTATATTGACCTTAATTGAAGAGGATAATTGATTCAATTGATCTATGCTAGAAAGTGGAATGACCATTGACCTATGTTGAAATATAAAATGATCTATTGACCAAAACCGGATTTCCTACAAAATAAAACCTTACTTATTTCAAGTATTTGAAACTGGCCACACCTTTCCACAATTCCATATCTAGAAATCATATTATTTTTCAAATCACATACAATAACTCATAGCAACAGGCAACAGCTCTAATTTTCAACCTCCATCTTCCCTTCTGGATATAGAGTATGGGTCACGTTACTTGACACAAACAAAATCAAAATGTCATTGACACAAACAAAATCAAATGTAAGGATTTCTAAAGAATTTCTATCCCACTCAAGTTATGGCAGAATCTCAAGCCATTTTCAGAATGTTATATGAAACAATTCTATGCTAACCGCTAAACAAAAGTTCCAAGGACCTGAGCAGGTATAATCTGGCTGAAGGACCAAACCAAGATGAAAAGTGGGTATGGATAAAAAAGTAAATACCTATTGCCACCATATTTAAAGCTTCAAAGCATGATAAACTAACAATTAAAACCATTCCGACAAGCCTTCATCTGTAGAATGGAAGAGAATCGATGGATTTACCTTCTCAATCTCTGCATACTGGATTTTTTTTTGGAGTCCACTAATTCTACCAGTTGTCTCAGACTCTTTTATCTGCATCTCTCT